AACTGTACTGTATTTAATTTCCGTGACATGCATGCATGCTCGGACATGTTCTGTAGCGAACGTTCTGTGTTATTCAGATTGTTATGGGTACTTGACCCTTTCACGCACAAGTTTAAAATATTCTAACTGACCCCCCCCCCCAGCATGAGTTTTTTTAAGGGGAGACACTGCAGGCAAAACACTGTTTTTACATGCACCTGTCAATTTTAAGATTTTGGGCTTTTTGGCTTTTCATAAAGTGTTCATGAAGACTAGTGGAAAGAAAACATCCAAAAGATACTGTTAAGTGTTTCTTTTATAGCACTTTATCTATTTGTGTCAATAGATTTTAATTACAATACATATATTTAAAGGCCGTTTTCTCAAAATGAGTTTTTTTCTCCTACACTGAGCCATAAATCTCCACTTCAGTAGCACTTACACACCAAACTTGAAATTTTTATTCCTGTCTATATTCTGAAGGACGTCAGCCTCTGGCTTATAACTGCCACATTCAAATGTGGTTTTGCGCTGTGACGTCACTGTACATTCTAAAATCCCTTATGTGGGACCGTACTCCCAGGGGCACAGAAATATTACCTAATCTATTACCAAATCAAAACTTAACAGTCCAATGTCCTCTCCAACAGATATATTTTTTCTGCAAGTCATGTGGGTCTACACATTTTCAATGTAGGCCTGAAGTCAGTTAAACTTGCTAATTATTGCAGGTTTTTATAGTTCAGTGTTTGTTTTCCTTGTGTGATTTTATGTAAAATAAGAAATGCAAAATCTGATTTGAAACTAAAACATGTCATTAGTTTGATCGGTACATAAGTTTTGGCGTGTGGGTACTTGCAGATATCTGTCCCAATTTTTTGTTTTTGTTTTAAAACATGAATTAGTCAACACAATACATCTTAAGATTTTTTTTCATTTATTAAGATATGTATTATATATCCATTAAATGTTAGCCTTTTGTGAAAATGACTTTTGCACATTGTCCAAACTCAGAATCTGTGTAGAAAATATGTTGTTTCTCTGAAAGACTACAGAGAAAAACACCTGATTAACATTTGTTTCCGAATGCAGAAATAAGGTGCAGTTTAGCCTTGAGGCGTCCAAAACGAATGGTTTATATTTACAATAAGCTATAGAATACGTGGAAGACTGAGTGTATGCAGGAGTTATTTTTTATTATAAATATATTATATATTATAAACATAAATGGTGCTATTATCAAAAATTAAGTTCCGCTGTTTTCCACATGAAAATGCAGCGGGATCACTGGCAGTCGAGGTCATTCTAAAATATATATATATATATATATATATATATAAGATCAGGAACACAGCCCCTTTGCACTATAATAAACAAAATACACCACTAGACCATCATATCTTACAGTCAGTGCAGAACTGTCACCTCAAAGAAAAAAAGGTGCATGACACCACTGAATTTTTGTATTATGGCAAAGTGAGGTGATTGAAGGGCGCTTCTCTCTTGCGTGTGCTGACGAAAAAAGGATACTTCATCGATTAATGCAGAGATTTTTGCGCATTCTGCAGTTCTAAAACACATTATGTTACTCCATAATTATTTCCCCTGTAATAGAGCATGTCTATTTAACACTAAGTAACAAAGTATTATTAACTAAATATTATCCAACAGTGTAACTGAATTTACATTTGTATAATTCTTACAGTTGGAGGGGGATTGGGGCAGGTCAGTAGCTGCATCGTGGGGGTGGAAATACAAAGGTGTGAATCGCCGCTCTTTCATACAGATAATGTCTGAGGGATGATGAGTGTTTTAAACTTGAAAAGCAGGCATAGGCAAAGTGCCCATTTCACGGTAAACGTCTCAATTTGTCCAAATGTATTTTTATTAAATTCTAAATATTGTAATGTATTTAAAACTTTAACCCTTATATGCATGAATGTTTTTTTAATTATTATTACATATTCAGGTATTTAGCGACTCGAACCTATATATCTAACAAAGATGGATCTCTAACTGCTGCAATAGCAGAAATGTATCCTGATATTTTAATGACGATTACAAAAGAATAAAATAAAGCATATTTCATTACCTTTTGAAACTTGGAAGGATTCAATTTGAGCAGATGATTTTCCCATCACTGTCATCGTCAGAGCCCATTTCTCATATTCACGGGTTCCGGGTGGCCATGGATATTCATTTAACAATAACACCTGTTAGTCTTTGATTTCATTATCATTGTGTATTTAAGTTCATTCTGATGTTAATCTGGTATTGTTTGTGTGCAGTGCACCCTGTCATGTTGTGTTTTCCATCTATTGGATTACCTGTTTTTTTTTTAATAGAAATACTTGATCTTCTTAGCTTCTCCTTTAGTCTTTGGACTAAAACCTTACAATGTTCTAATAAATCAATAACAAAATCTTTGTCAAGACAATAACCACAATATACAACATGACCTCAAGAGTACCGTATTTACCCGAATATAAGACAATGTATTTTTCTTGGAAATACATCTGAAAAAACGCGGTCGTCTTATATTCAGGGTCTAGACTTTGACATGTCAATAATACACCCACAACAATAGGTGGCGCCAAATACGCATAAAACGAGTGTGCCATGAAATACGTAATGTAATGCGTGTTGTAAAGATCGCGAGTAAAAACAAAAGAAAAAGAAAACCTTACAGCTGCACGAGTCGTGACTGTCACGTTACCCTGATGGGACCAAACTCCCTTTGTGGGGGGGGTCGTCTTATAATCAGGGTCGTCTTATATTCGGGCCAATACGGTATATTTGCTGAAATATTGCAGCTGTAAGTCACATGAAATGTCCTGGAAAATAATTTCTTGAAAAGAAAGAGTCCCCTTAAAAAAATTATTTTGAAAAATAAAGAAATCAATAAACATATAGTATTTATAACAGTGTAAAAAAAGATAAATTATGTTTTTTTAAACTAAAACTGTGCAATCATCAAATGAAAATGAAAATTAAACATACATTGGACTAAAAAAGTGAAGCCTTTGCATTTTCATTTTAGATGACTATCACACACCACTGGGATGATATAGTCAGAAAATGTATTTATTTGGTTTTCCTCTTTATATGACGGCTACTCTAAAAATGTCATCTTATAATTATTGTTTCTTCATATATATAAATGACTGTACATCTATGCTGGTTATATATAGTAATGAATTTAGGTAAAGGGGTGCAGAACCAGTGGTGGTTTTGTAGGCAAACATTAATGCCTTGAATTTTATGCAAGCAGCTATTGGTAGCCAGTGCAAATTGATAATCAGAGGTGCGACGTGCATTCTTTTCAGCTCATTAAAAATTAATCTTGCTGCCACGTTCTGGATTAATTATAAAGGTTTGATAGAAGTGGCTGGAAGACCTGCCAAGAGAGCATTGCAATAGTCAAGCCTGGACAGAACAAGAGCTTGAACAAGGAGTTGTGTTGCATGTTCTGAAAGAAAGGGCCGGATCTTCTTGATGTTGAATAAAGCAAATCTGCAGGACTGGACTTTAGAGGGAATCTGGGCAGAGTTTCCATTATGTCAGCTGTGATGCAGCATCTCATCCCTCATATCTGGTCACTGAAGTTCACTGTAGTGCTGTTGTATATAACTGAAACATTCATTAAATATTTTTAATTTTTAAATAAAATGAGATGTGTTAGGGCTGACACAAATGTTGTTTTCAAATGCTCATTCTTCAGAAATGTTTCAAAGCTGCTTTACGGAATTAATCACAGCACTGAACTGTATATTTACAATCTGAAATGAAGATCAGACTGAAATGATCAGGGACCCAGTTCAAAATTATCCTGCTTCCTTCCCTGGAGGCGAGGGTGTTTTCATCAGGTAAAGTTCTCAAAAAAAATGCAGGCAATGAGTGCAGCACTGCTGAAGGAAGTTGCCGCCCCTCATGCACTTAACCAGAGAATGTGTGTTTGCCTTACTACATCCCTTCACCTGGACTAAAGACTTCCGTTACTCCATCACCTTCACTATGATCTTTCTCACCTGAAGGACACCACCTAGCTAGAAGCTACTCATAATGTCATGTAGTTCAACTAGAGTTAATCTACTCGTTTGATAAAGTAGTTAGCTACAATACAAGCTAGTGATGTCTAAAGTAATGGTACTAATGTATGCAAAAATAAAAAAAGCATTGGTGATACAATACTGCGATTAATACCAGTGGACATTAGCAAAGTGAGAGGGCCTTAGCCATCTGGTGCCTCTTAGGATTCTGCTGACCAAGGGATTTCTACCATGTCACCAGGGGAGGGACTGCATCACCACATATGTTAAGGTACTCTTGAGTTGAACTAGCACTGGAGCGGTCTCATGCATAACACTCAAAATGGGATGGTGATGGCCATAACAAGCATCAACTGGTATCCACTGGAACATCCACATTAGCAGAGCTATGTCAGTCTTGAACTTGGTCAAGTAAAGCACAGTGGACTGGATATGAGAGTCTAACAAGTGAAACTCACAAAGCCACCGAGTCAAGTTTCAAATCTAAGAAGATAGCTAGCTGCCAGGGCACCAAAATTCTCGTTTTTTATACTAGGCAATACAAATGTATCAGCAGCAGATGTCAGTGTGTGCACACTACCTCCTCTGATTGGGCCAGAACCAACTTTCTCTATTTCACAGTTGTGGAGGAGAGACTGAAGCTTTTGGTTCAGTATCAGCACTACCTGCACTGGTGCAGTGGCAAAAATAACACAGTTGAAGTGAAGCTACAGTAAGCTACAAGCTCTGTCCTTCTGTAGACGGCTTCTGCAAAAAATCAGCCACCCTGAAGCAAGGAATTTCATCATCATGTTGCTTCATTTAACACAAGTATTCACTTTGAATAGACAGAAGAAGAGAGTGTCACTTACTGTAGTGTCAAGTACTGGCGTAGCATCAGACTGACAGACTTCAAAGGAAACCATAAATAATTGAATTATAGTAGTTAACAACTATATACTTTTTCTTTTGGAAGAATAACAAATTCCATAGAAAATTCCTCCTTTAAAATATTTTTAATCTTAAGGCAGCAGTGATCATTGCAAATGCCAGTCAGAATGTGTCATTTAAAAGGTGTTGTGACAGGAGTTACTTACTTCTTTATTGTTCTGTTTAGGTTGGTCACCTGTAATATCACTGGTCAGTGTTGTGAAAGTTTGTCTTCAGCTTTACAGTCATCATACTCCTGTCTAAGAGAGCTTGACCTGAGTAACAATGATCTGCAGGATTCAGGAGTGAAGCTGCTTTCAACAAGTCTGAAAAGTTCACAATGTCAACTGAACATACTGAGGTATTTACCACCGATAAAGATTTACTCTCATCAAACTAAACGTCAATTGTGTCCTGCTCTTTACTCCTTGGAAGCTTGTTATGTCTTAGCAGTACCTGGTTGCTGTGTTTGCTCTCATCTAAAGTATTGCTGATGTCTATTATAATTATACCTTATGTGTAAATAATATAAAAACCCTGTAGATGACCCTGTAGGCCAACTTCTCTCATGGTCATTCCATTCACAAGAACTTGGTAAACTAGAATGCTCTGTAATTCAAGTAAGGTCACTTCATTTGACAAAATTTGTTTATTCGGAACACCCTGCATTGTCATCATACTCAGATGAAACTCCAGTATTACATATTTAAAAAGTTTGAGGTATGACAACATATACTTCTGTAAATAAATACAGTGTACATTATATATAGCTTCAGGTTTTTTATTTCCTTAATTTTATTCATAAATGTCAGTAGTGCCCTTTGAACTGAACACGATCCCTTCAGATTGGAATCTCACTCAAAGGTCCCATATTGTCAAAACTGAAATTTCCTGGCTTTTTTCATGATAACTGAGGTCTAGGTGCTATGTAACTACCATATAAGTTTCAAAACAGTCAGTCCACGGTAAAATTCACACAGCCTGCTTAAAGAAGCTGCGATTTTTCACGAACCGTTGTGACTTCCGTAAAAAGT